AGTTCTGATATGTGAGGATCATGGAAGATATGGAGGCTGCACAGCTGCAGAAAAGTTTTGCAGAGAGTGGTGAAGGCTGCACAGAAGATGTTGGAGTCAGTCTCCCCACCATCACAGACATCTACACCTCCAGATGCAGGAAGAGGGCCACCTGCATCATGAAGGACCACACTCACCCAGCACACACACTTTTTGCCCCACTCCCCTCAGGAAGGAGGTTGAGGAGCATTAAGTGTAGAACCACTAGACTGAGGAACAGCTTCTACCCTGAGGCTGTTAGACTCATGAATCTCTAACCAGGAGAATCACTATAATGCCACATTAATTAGTGCTGCTGACTATCAATGCTGCTGATCTCATGTTGCTGATTTATTTCATGCTGCTGTCTTCTTTTGTCCTCATCTGCTCAAACAGACTCATGTTCGTGCTGCTGTTGTTCGGCATATTCTTTTTGTACTATTATGTGTATGTGTATTCTTTTTATTATTTATTAGACCTTTATTTAAACAGGTTAGTTCCCATTGAGCCTCGAAGACTCATTTACAAGACAGACCTGTTACATACAACATAATGGCAGATGAGAAAAAGAGAACACAAGGGTGGAGGAAGCCCAAAGAAATCATGTCTCACACCATGTCCTGGCCGGGGCACAGTGTAATAGGATGAGATGAGATGATAATGAGATGGGAGACTGCAACGAAGCCAAGATTCAATTTGTCTGCTGGATTGCTCAGATAGAGAACTTTACCTAATTGGCTTTTATGTGAATGTTCCTGTAACGTGCCCTGAGACAACTTTGTTGTGATTTGGTGCTTTATAAATAAACTGAATTGAATTGAATTGTAAGAGATGCAAAAAAAGACCTTGCAACATAAAACAGCAACATACAATGACATCATAATACATTTATGCATAGAAGGTCAGCAAAGGTGATGAGTTGTTCATGGACACTCCAGAAAGTTCCAAAGTTCTGGTAAGAGGGTACAGTGGTTGTCAGCATCATGGTTCTGATAAGGCCACAGGTGGGGCAGGCAGATCTTTTAGTTTACGTATCCCCCAGGAGCAATTTCAGATTAGTTGGCCTGTCCAAGGCCAGCGAGGAGTCCAAATTCAGATAAACAACAATTGTTTTGGGCCGCCAGACTCTGTTTTCTGTCTGCCTTCAGTTCTGCTGGTAGACTCAATGGTGAATCCAAACTGCCAGATTTGAGGACATTCCACCCGGTCCGTGCTTGTTAGCCTTCTCCAAGATCGAATCCTTCATGCCAGCGAGTTCCAGGAGCTGCAAGTGACCTATGATTCTCAGAAATTGCGTCCAGCTTGTGGTTGAGCTTGTTAACTATATGAGTCTGAGAGCTCGAGGCACAAATTAATCCTTCACATAAGGTTGGCAGCTTTACCATGCCCGAAACTGCTGCCAATGTCTTCCTAATTTGTCGATATCCTAGGTATCTGCCGATTCCAAAAAGCAGAAACCCTGTTATCATAAATCCAATAATGTACACATCTTCTACGTCCTCCACGGACAGCACAGACAGGCACATCATCTTCCACTGCCCCCAAGAATCAATGACATACCCAGCTGCATGGGTCCGTTCAGGGCATGAGGGCTCTCCAGCACCCTGTTGTTTGGTGGAGAAAAAAATCCATTGCATTGAGAGAACAGATGACCAAATCCATAATAATGTTCAATTTGGAAGATGTGTAAAAATAGGCTCTGTGGTTGACAGGACAAGAGAGCAATAAAAAGCAGGAGGGAGAAAGAGAGGAAGAGAGGGAGAGAGCGACTGTCTTTGTCGAGAGAGAAAGAGAAAATGAAAGACTTTTAGTTTAGCATATTTCTTACTTCATATCTTAGATCTTAATACACTGTTTTTTTTTTTTTACAATTTATAATTTTAATTGATGTAACTGGGACCCAATTACAAAATGTTGCTACACCACATGTACCAAATATGGTGTGAATGACATTAAAGATAACATAACCTTAACCTTGACCTTGATAGATCCACCTTCAAGACATGAAAGGAATATGGAGCATGACAACAGTTGTTGTATGCTCAGTCTCTCCCATTTCACCTGCTGAAGCTGAAGATCTTTCAGAGTGCTGTTTCGGTGGTCTCTCGCTCTTCTTTTTCACTGTCTCTCAGTTTATGAAGACGGGCCACTCCTACTAGATGTACACGTGTGAAAAGATGAGCTGAACTTCTTTTCTGGTTTAATGGAGAGATGGAATCCTGAGGCCACCGAACCAGAAACCCTCTCCCCCCCCCCCCCGCCCGCACCCAGAATTTCTGTCCATAAAAGTTATGAACAGAATCTATGACAACAGGCAGCCCTGGCAGAGTCCATCTCCCACCCTGAAGGAGTCCGACTTACTGCCGGCAATGCAAACCAAACTCTCGCACCACTTGTATAGGGACCGAACAACCCGTAACAACCAACCTCCAATCCCATACTCACAGAGCTACCCCCACAGTGTACCCTGAGGAACACGGTCGAATGCTTTCTTCAAGTCCACAAAATACATTTAGACTGAATGGGCAAACTCCCATGACCCTTCGAGAACCCTAGTGAGGGTAAAGAGTTGATCCAGTGCTCCACGACCAGGATGGATCTCCCATTGTTCCTCCTGGATCTGAGGTTCGACCAACAATCAGACTCACTTCTCCAGTACCCCTGAATAGACTTTACCAGGGAGGCTAAGGAAAGTGATGCCCTTATAATTGAAGCACACCCTCTGATCCCCCTTTTTGAAGAGGGGAACCACCACCCCAATCTGCCAGTCCAGTGGCACTGCCCCCGATGTCCACGCGACGTTGCAAAGGCGTGTCAACCAAAACAGCCCCACACCATACAAAGCCTTAAGGAAATCAGGGCGAATCTCATCCAGTCCCGGAGCCCTGCCGCTTTTTAACTACCTCGGCGACCTCAGCCATAGTTATGGACGCATCAACCCCAAAGTCCCCTGACTCAGCTTCTTCCATGGAAGACGTGCTGGTGGGATTGAGAAGGTCTGAAAAGTATTCCTTCCACCTCCCGACGACATCACTGGTTGAGGCCAACAGCACCCCACCTTCACTGAACACAGTGTTATTAAAGTGCTGCTTTCCCCTCCTCAGCCGCCTGATAGTTTGCCAGAATCTCCTTGAAGCTGACCGAGAGTCTCTATCCAAGGTCTCGCCAAACTCCTCCCACATCCGAGCTTTTGCCTCAGCAACAGCCAAGGCTGCACACCGCTTGGCTCTCTGGTACTCCTCAGCTGCCCCCAGAGTCCCACTGGCCAACAAGGCCCGATAGGACTCCTTCTTCAGCTTGACAGCCTCCCTAACCCGGGGTGTTCATCACCAAGTTCGTGGATGGCCACTGCGAGAAGCACTGACAACCTTGCGACCACAGCTCAAGGCAGCTACCTCAACAAGCGAGGCACGGAACATGGCCTACTCAGACTCAATGTCCCCCACCTCAGCTGGGATGTGGTTATAGCTCACCTGGAGGTGTGAGTTGAAGCTCTCTCTGGCGGGTTCTTCTGCCAGGCATTCCCAGCAAACCCTCACTACACGTTTGGGTTTACCAGGTCTGTCCGGCAGCTTCCCCCGCCATCTGATCCAACTCACTACCAGGTGGTGATCAGTTGACAGCTCAGCTCCTCTCTTCACCCATGGACCACAACAAACAGCCGCAAATCAGATGACAGACTATGAAGTCAATCATCTACGACCAAGGGCGTCCTGGTGCCAAGTGCACTTATGGACACCCTTATGTTTGAACATGGTGTTCGTGATGGACAAACTATGACTAGCACAGAAGTCTAACAACAGAACACCGCTCGGGTTCAGATCAGAGAGGCCGTTCCTCCCAATCACACCCTTCCAGGTCACACTGTCATTATCCACGTGGGCATTGAAGTCCCCCAGCCGAATAAAGGAATCCCCAGCTGGCGCACCTTCCAGCACCCCTGTCAAGGACTCCAAGAAGGCCAGATACTCTGAACTACAGTTTGTCACATAGACACAAACAACAGTCAGAGCCCGTCCCCCCACCCGAAGGTGAAGGGATGCCACCCTCTCACCTACTGGGGAAAACTCCAACACCCAGGCACCAAGTCGGGGGGGATACAAGTAGACCCACACCAGCTCGACGCCTCTCACCATGGGCAACTCCAGAGTGGAATAAGGTCCAGCCCCTCTCAAGGAGATTGGTTCCCGAGCCCATGCTGTGCGTCGAGGTGAGCATAACTATATCTAGTCGGTACCACTCAACCTCGCGCACAAGCTCATGCTCCTTCCCTGCCAGAGAGGTCACGTTCCATATCCCAAGTGCCAGCTTTAGTAAGCCAAGGTCAGAGCGCCAAGGTCTCCGCCTTCGGCCACTGCCTTCGGCCACTGCCCATAGCATCATGCACCCTACTTTTATGGTCCCTCCTGCAGGTGGTGGGTCCACAGGAAGGCAAACCCATGCTGTTCCTTCGGTCTGAGCCTGACCAGGCCCCATGGGTAGAGACCCGGTCACCAGACGCTCAACGATGAGCCCCTCCCTCAGGCCTGGCTCCAGGGTGGGACCATGGTAACCCATGTCTGGGCAAGGGACACTGAGTTCCTTGTTTTGTCTTGTCTATAAAAATCTTCTGAATTGCTCTGTCTGGCCTGTCACCTAGGGCCAGTCTGCTGTGGGAGATCCTACCAGGGGCAATTATAGTTGCCTCGACAGCACAGCTCCTAGGATCATTCAGGTGCACAAACTCCTCCACCATGATAAGGTGGCAATTCAAGGAGGAGTAAGCATTTATAAATAATGCAATTCCACCGCGTTTTTTTACTCTTTTTTTTTTTTGGTGGTGTGTGTGTGGTGGTGGTGGTGGTGGTGGGGGAGAGATGGGGGGTTGCTGCTGTGTGGACCAGAGCCAGGTGTGGACTGATTCAAGTGAACCGGATGACTTCAGGTGAACCGGATGCAGCAGCTGTAGCTGTTCACCAGCGGGTGGCGCTGTCGCAGCATGGAGGCGCCTCGTGGAGGAAACGAAGAAGAGTTTTAATAAAAGATCTGCGATAATGCTTCACTCACATTAACATTTCTTTCTGGTTTCCAACAAGTCCGAAACGGACCCGCCTGTGGGATTACTGGGTCGACATGCTGTGGACGGAGCTGGAGTAGAAGCTGGTAAGGGGACAGAACCGTGTGGACGGGACCGGTTCGGTGTTCGGATGAGTTGTTGCTAAGCTAAAGAACAGTTAGTTGAGCTAACTGTTAGGTCAGCTAACTGTTAGCTCTGCTAAGCTAACAGTTAGCTCAGCTAAC